CAAAGTGCAGAAGAAAGATAACAACAAAAATAGAGACTAGTGACATAGAAACTATATATAAAATAGAGAAAGTCAACAAATCTAGTTTTTTTGAAAAGATTAATAAAATTGGCAAACTTTCGGTGGAAGGGAAAAAGAGAGAAGACATAAATAAGCAAGACAACACCAGAGATGAAAAGTGGATTGATTTCATTCATATGCTGAAAATATTTTTTAAAAATAAGACAAAAGTTACTGGAACTGACTCAAAAAGAATAGAAAATAGAAAGTCTGAACAGATCTATAACAAGTAAAGAAATTGAATCAGTAATCAAACATCTTCCAATAAAGAAAAGCCCAGGACCAGATGTCTATACTGGTGAATTCTACTAAACATTTAGAAAATCATTCACACCAACCCTTTTCAAACTCTCCCTCACAAAGAAAAGAAAGAGAATAAAAATTAAACACAAAAAAAAGGAAAAAAGAAAAAGAAGTAGGGGGAACACTTTTTAGCTCATTCTTGAGACTAACGTTACCCTGACACCAAAGCCAAAGACATCACGAGAAAGGAAAACTACAAACCACTATCCTTTATAAATATAAATGTAAAAATCCTCAAGAAAATACTAGCAAAGCATATTCTGCAACATATTGAAAGGATTATAAACCATGATCAAGTGGGATTTGTCCCAGCACGTGCTCGGTAATTTAATGTAAAAAAATTAATCAGTGTAGTAATGCACCCCATTAATAGAATGAATGGAAAAAATCTACACAATCATCTCAATTGATGCAGAAAAAGAATTTACAAAGTTTAACACCCTTTCAGGATACAACACTGAGAAAAGTAGGAATAGAAGGGCACTTTCTCAACCTGACAAAAGGCACTTATGAAAAATTCACAGCTGACATCATACTCAATGGTGAAAGACTGAAAGCTTTCCTCCTCTAAGTTCTTAAGTTCAGGAGCAAGATAAAGATGTCTCTTTCTCCACTGCTATTCAACATTGTACTGGAAGTTCTAGTCAGGTCAACTTGGCAAAAAAAAAAAGGAAAATTGGAAAGGAAGAAGAAAAATTTATTCACAGATGACATAATCCTACATACAGAAAATTACAAAGACTACAGACAAATCTCCTTAAGCTAATAAGTGAATGCAGCAAATTTGTAGAATAAGATCAACATCCAAAAATCAATTGTATTTCTATATACTAGCAATGAACAATCCAAAAAGGAAATTAAGAAAACATTTGCATTTACCATAGCATCCAAAAGAATAAAATACTTAAGAATAAATTAAACCAAGGAGGTCAAAGACTTACGTACTGAAAACTGCAAAACAGTGCTGAATGAAATTAAAGAAGACCTAACTAAATGGAAAAATACCTCATATTCATGGATTGGAACACAATATTGCTTTAAGATGTCACTACTACCCAAAGTGATCTACATATTCAGTACAATCCCTATCAAAATTTCAATGACCTTTCTTGCAGAAATAGAAAAGCCAATTCTCAAATTCATATGGAATTGCAAGGGACCCTGAATAGCAAAAACAATCTTAAATAAAGTTGGAGGACTTACACTTCCTGGTTTCAATACTTACTACAAAACTACAGTAATCAAAAATAGTGTAGTACTGCCTTAAGGACAGACATATAGACCAATGGGATAGAATTGAAAGTACAGAAATAAACCCGTACATCTATGGCCAATTGATTTTCAACAAGGGTACCAAAACCATTCAATGGGTAAAGAATAATTTCTTCATCAACTGATGCTGAAACAACTGGATAGACATACGCAAAAGAATGAAGTTGGACCCCTAACTCACACCATACATGAAAATTAACCCAAAATGGGTCGATGACAAATATAAGAGCTAATACCTTAAAAATTTTAGAAGGAAACCTAGGAGTAAATCATGTTCATTAGCAATGGTTTCTTAGATATGACACCAAAAGCACAAGCAACAAAAGAAAAAAACAGATAATTTGGACTTCATTCAAAATTAAAAACTTTGTGCTTCAAAGGATATCAGCAAAAAAGTGAAAAGAGACCCATCAACTCCCCTCCTAGACATATACCCAAGAGAAGTGAAAACATTCACACATAGACTTGTAACAAACCTTCATAGTAATATTATTTATAATAATCAAAAAGTAGAAATAAGCCAAATATTCATTGATAACTGGATAAACACAATGTGGTATAGCCATATAATGGAATATTATTCAATCATATAAAGGGATGAAGTACTGATACATGCCACAGCATGGGTGAATCTTGAAAACATTATGCTAAGTAAAAGAAACCAGACACAAAAGGTCATATATGATTCCATTTATGTGAAATGTCTAGAATTGGCAAATCTAAAGAGATAGAAACTAGATTTGTGTTTGCCAGTGACTTAGGGGAGAGAGGAATGAGAAAAGACTAATGGGTATTAGATTTCTTTCTGGGGTGATGAAAATATTCTGGAATTAAATAATGATGGTTGTACAACATTGTGAATATATTTTTAAAAAACCACTGAAATGGTACACTTTAAAATGATTAAAGTGATGAGTTTTATCTCAATTTTTAAAAAAATCCCTAGGATCATTAATTCTGATTATGCTAGACATAACTACTGATCCAATATAGTATCTAGCACCTATTATATGCTCAATAAACATTTATTGAATAAATGCTCAAATGAGTAAATGAATAAATAGAAATTACCCATCAAGCATACTACATTGTAATCTCCATCAGGGCAGAGGTTTTTGTCTGTTCTGTGTTTTGTTCGCTGCAGTATTTCCCAGTGCCTGTAACAGTACCTAGCACATAGTCAGTAGGGAATAAATATTTCCTAAAGGAATGGATAAAAGAGTTTTGCTGATTTCTTATAGAGGCTATTGCCTGAGTGGACAGTAGTCCAGGGTCTGATCCTCACTTCTGGAAGTCTAGAAACTTGGTTCAGTGAGTGTATCAAGACTTGGTCAGTCTCTGCAGAACTCCTGCACACTAATCAAACTGGCAGGAAGCTCTTTTTTGTAGTAGGGTGCCTGGTGAAAGGAGTAACTTGAACAAATTATTTTTTTAAGTCAAAAATCTGCCATCTTCTTTCCTATGGAGGAGACATAGAAAATTCTGTTGGATCACATTCATTGAGGGAGAGTGTTTTGAAGAGTGCCTCTCTCTCAAAGGAGAGGTGTGGAGGTAGTTATTACTTTGAGTAAAGGGATAACAGGATCTTTTATGTCCTCACAAAGTCTCCCCTCCGGCATGCAGAGTGGGAAAGGAGGCCATAGAGCATAGAGCCTTCTGGGACAGAAGGGAATGAGAAGGGAACTGCTCACTTTCAGATTCAAATTAGGGAAACCTGTCAAGTTAGACCCAACCACAAAGGCCCTTACCAAAGCAGTGCTCTGTTTCTCCACCCCCAGGTCAACATGATTATCAGTCTTTTCAATTTTATCAATCTAAGAGACAAAAACGATCTTAATGTTGTATTAATTTTTACCTCTTTGATTACTAGTTAGGTTAAGCATTTTTATGTGTCTATTGGCCATTTAGGTTTTTGTTTTTTTTTAATGAGTTTCCCTTTCATGTATGTTGTGGAAATAAAACCACAGACTTGGAAATTCTGAAGTATGGCTTTTGTCATGGAGCAGCAGGCAAGAAATGAGAGGGATTAAGTGAGCACTAGCCAGAAACCGGGCAACTATCACATCCTCAGATCTTAGCACATCAGTTCTACATTTCTTTTTAAATGAGTACAAAGATCTATCTCCATGTCTTCTCAGGTATTCTTTTGAGATCCACAGGAAAGAGAAGGCCTTGTGTTCACAAGTAAACATGTTTCAAAAGGTTAATATACATTTGAAAAGCAGTTCAAGTTCAAAGCATTTTGCAAACAAGGGCACTCAAAATAAAGAAGGTAAAATATTCATCTGAAACAGAGATTCAGATATATATTTGAGAAGAAAGAGAATGAGTCTTTGTCCAAAAAAAACCAAAAGAGATTAAAGAAATAAAGCATTTGAGGATCTTTAGTTGAATTTTTTAACATTTATAATACAGGACAAAGTTGTTTGATTATAGAGAGACTAATCAGGTTATCAATATCTACTGGCCATTTTCTAATTCTGGCGTTGGGCTTTTTCTTACTGATTTAAAAGAGCTCTTTATACATTAAGTAAATTTGCCCTTTAATGTAAATATTGTAAATATTTTCCACAGATCATTGCTTGTATTTTAATTTTCATGTACTATTAGGAAGCCAAAAATTTTTATGTAGCCAAATTTCTCACTCTTTTTATTTCTGAGTTTAGAATAAAGCTTTAAAATATCTTTCCCGTCTCAAGATTATCAAAATGTTTACCTATATTTTCTTCTAATATTTTTGTTTTAATATTTAAATCTTTGCTCCATTTGAAATTTATTTAGTATAAGGAATACAGTAGGGATCAGCTTTAATTTTCTTCCCCCAAAGGCTAACCAGTTGTTCCATCCTTTCTATATTCATCTGAAATTCTACTTGTATCATATAATTAATTTCCAAAGAGATTTGGATCTGTTTCTGAACTCTTTATTCTGTCTGATTTATTAATTTTAAATGAAGTTCTGTTTTCCAGTTACCATTTTATTTCCACTCACTGCGCTAAATAGTCCTTTCCTGATACTGTGGTATCTCTAAGAACAAGCCAGAAAACTTAGTAAGCATGAAGTGAGAATCAAAAGAAAGAGATGGGCTGAGGATATTTCATCCGGGCTATATGTACCTCTTTGCCCAACAAGAGAAAACACTTCTCTAATGATAAGTGGTATACAAAGCCCTTTTGTTATCTAGCTCTTGTCCCTTTCCAACATCCTCTCTGGCCACTTTTCATCCTCTCATCACCATTTGCCTAGAAGTTCCCAAAACATCTTGTCAATTCACATCTTCTTGTCCTGCACTTGCTATTCATTCTGCCTAGCAGCCCTTATCTTCCTTGTCCAACAGGCAGATTTTATTCAATTATTTTTTTTCTGAAGTCAACAAATGTTTATTAAATGCCTCCAAGGTTACTGGGATAAGGCCATGATGCTAGACACACTGTCAAAGTCGATCTTCTCCATGATGTTCTTGGGCTTAATGCGCTCTTCCTGGCTACAGATGAAGATCTGGCCCGACTTGTCAGCGCTCCAGCTGTACTTGCTCATCCACACTTCAGCTGGCTGTGTCAGATCCCCAGGCATCTCGGCCAGCAGCCAGCGATCAATGTGCTGATAAGTGATGATCACCATGTGGCAGATAAATTTCTGGACAAAGTCTTCAAAGCCAGTTATATCTTCCAAGAGGTCCATATTTTCATCCAGGGCTTGCCAGAAGGCTTGGAAGTGGCAGGTCTCCAACAGGTCTCCGAGGTACAAAATCTGCCAGATCAGCCGTTCTTCATGGTGTGCCTGGTCCATCATACACTTGCACAGCATGAAGTTGATGTGGGGCAGGTTGGTGAGGGCCTTCAGCAGGATCTGGGTGGTGACCGTGGTCTGAAAGAAGGCTGGATTGAACTGGTACAGCTTTAGGATAGCCAGGTTGGCTTCCAGATCGTAAGCATTCTCCTTGGCCTGGGTCTCCACATAGCGCTCCAGGGTGGCCAGATTCTCAGGACTGTACCTGTCAGTACCCTTGAGCAACTTGCCCCGTTTGCTCCATCTGCTCAAACATCACCATGACTCTGTTGCCTCCCACACCTGGGGTGAAGCCCTAGACCCGGCTGGCACGGACTCCTTGAGGACCGGAAAAGGCTACTCAATCCTTTTAAACCCAGTCACACATATAAATTGTCTGTCACGCCTTCCGCCCCATGGTGCTTGTCCTCTAAAAGAGTGAACTGTTAAAGTCAGGGACTATCTTATTCATATTTGTATTTCCAGTGCCTAAAACAATGAGCACACAAATGTTCAACTAATGTTTGTTGAGTGAAAAAGTTCATTCAAATCATGCCAATGTTTCCACTGTTATAGGTGTTTTTATACGACCCTGAGGTAGTTTGTATTCAGCTGTTTTTCAGAAAAATGTTTGCTTCAACCAATACATCACTGCTTCTCTCCCCAACCCATTGGTCTGAACTGGGCATTGGTGAAGGGAATGAGGAAGAAAGGGGGAGGGGAAATGAGTAGTTCAGCAGAACCATATTAGACAGTATCAGTGGAAGATAATAGAATTCTATTTCCATGTGTATTTTTCTGAATTCATTGCTTGTGTAAAACAAGGCATACCATAAATGCAGCAGGGTAACGATACTGTAGTAGCAGAGTATTGAAATTGTAATAATGAAATTAAGTCAGATGTGGTGCTGCTTTGATTTGACAAATATTAAAAAATAATTGAACTGTTTTCTTATACTGATAGGCACTTTATGGTATAGTTTGGAAACTGGAGACAGTTTCTCTCATACAATAATGTCCATTTGGGTCCAAAGAGACCTTTATTTGCATGAACTACATTTCAAAAAATAAAAATTTTGGTGACAAATGTGAGTTTTAAAGTCTTCTCAAAATTTTACTAATAACATGACTGACATAGAAAAGTGCTTATGCATTCAAATCCCTTCTCTCCAGGGACAAGTCATTTTAATCTCATTTATATACACAGTCCTTGGAGTCAATTGTATGATAAAATGACAAAGTTTGACTTGAATTTTGTTAAACTGTTCGCTGTGTGATTTTTTAATCTTAATATTTCACTTTAAATTTTTTCCTCTTGATTTATCAGCATATTGTCCACCATCTCGAACTACTGTCTAATTTTATAGAAACAAAAGAAGGTGAGGCTAACACCAGGTGATGAAGACATGGTTGATTCATGTTAAAATTAGCAATGAAAACTCCATAATTCATTCTCTTTCTCTTAAACATAGTTCTTAGAAGTGGAATATATTGAGTCTTCCTTAAAACCTCATATATTTACTTTGCATGACTTTTTCTGATGGTATTTTCCCAGAATGATGGAGGAAAAAGGAAGGTTTGTCTGGATAAATTGCTTTGAACAAAGTGAATGCAGGAAATCCAGCCACTGAGTTATTTCCACCCTCTGATGATTTGTTTGGAACAACTGAGGAGGTATGAGCAGTAGCTTTGTATATTTCACTTTGGCAGAGGTTCAGTCTCCACCACTGGTCTTATCAGCCGACATCAACTGGCAGGTGGCTAGGATGTCATGGAAGAGAAGGGAAGCAGTGTGATGTGGTAGTGGTAAGCCTCTCTAAGACATGGTGCTCACAGTCTGTTTTGACTTTCTATCTTGATCTATTAAAATGTGCTGTTTACACTGTCACAGAATAAACAGAACCATGACTTATATTTTACCAACCTTACCCCACTCAACATCTTTTATGTGGGTAATCTGATCTCATTAAACTGAGAGACATTCATGCTAACCCCTGATGTCATCACCATATCTTATAACAAATGCTATTGAACACCTTGGCCAGGGTTGGTTAATAATGCCCCAAAGCAAGGACTCTAATAAAGAAATTTCCTGGCATCAGACCAGCCAAGAGGCTACACAGATGACGGCTCTTCTGATGGAGTTAGAGTGTCTTGAGGCTCCTGTTTTCCTCAATACCTTCCCTAATCCTGATCCTTCAGTCAATGGAAGATTTATTCACAGGATTCTGCAAGAATGAGGGAAGTTGGTATGAGTATAAGCCTTTATAAGAGTTTACAGAGAACAGAGGATCTAATCTTTGCCGTTAAGATTTTTACAGACACTTTCTGGGAACTGAAGTTGTTAGGGAAGCCTTCAGAACTCTTGGCAACAACCTGAGCTAAGGAGGCAATTTCCAGTGGCCTCTCACCATCTCATTCTACACCTCACTATTCACTTCCACAGTCCCCCAAAAGGGGCTATCGCCCATACTCTGTACTCAAGATCTTCTCTGATTTCTTGTCAAAGCTTACCAGTCTCTAGGATAAGATAAACCAATCTATGCTAAGGTATTAATGCTTGATCATACAGTATTCCAAAGAGCAGATGCACTCAAATAGAGTATTCCAGATGGCATATGTTTTTACAAAAGGAATTTGTTTGTGGGGCAACGTCCATAAAAATGACCAGAGGAGATGAGAGTGTGTATTTTGGCCCATATGCCCTTCCATAGTCCCTACAGTCTTCATGTTATATAAGATAAAACTAATGCCAGTATGCATTTGCACCATTAATAAAATGGACCTTGAATAAAAAGATAAACAAAAAGTTTTAATTCTAGACATGAACTCCATTAGAACTTAGCATCTGTATTACTTGATATTTAATATTATACACTCTTGTACTCTTGGTTTATTTTCTCATAGACACAACTTCCTAACTCAAGTGAGGGCTGAGACTATATCTAATGCTTCTTTTCTGCCCACAGTACTTGGTCAAACCTGTATCGGCACAGAGTAAATATTCAATATTTTTTGATGAATTGAAGCAACACTTGATGCTTGACTCTAAGAGAATGGGCAATATCACATGGTTTGTGTACTTGTATGTATTTCACATAACAATTAAGTATTTTTCTTTTCTGCATTATGGTTGCCACCATTTACTATAGTAGATAATCTTTGAGGTGTCTGCACAGCTCACAACTCTCAGTACTGCTCTTCTACTTCTATGGCTAGGAAGCCATGTTTACACTATGTGACTCTGCCCTCATGGTTGCAGTAGATAAGGGGTGGTGCCTGCCAGAGTTAGCCAATCATATTTTCTCTCTGAAGAATTTTCCATGGGGCCTAGAGTCAGCCAGTCAGTCTCTGTGTAGACAGAGAAGCCAAGTCATTTTGCAGAGACAGAAGCAAAGATGGGAGGCCAAAAGAGAGTATGCTTCCTGGGTTCCTTGCTGACTTGCTGTTCGTGGTTCTAGTTTCCTCCTGAGATTCAGCTATATTCTTGCCTGTAGATACCATGAGGCCTCCACCATTTCCTTTTTGTAAATGACGATTTATGGATTTTTTTGCTTCAGCTGGCTTGAGGTACTATTTACTATTTAAAGCCAAAATCTTGCCCAATTTATCTTCCATTATCCAAGTCTACCAAAAGGGAGGGAGGCAACCAGACTGGTTAGCTGGCACAATTTACATACATGGCATTAGAGAGCAGGCTAGGTAGTGGAATGGCTTGTGACTTTTTATACATGTGCTAACCATTCAGAAATCCAAGAAGCTGTGATCTAAGGCCCAGCCATCATTCACAGACTTAGAGGACATGAAGAAGGCCTAGTCTCATTACCAAAGCATGCTTCTTGTATTATGTGGTTAAAAAAAATGGGTGTAGTTTATATTCATTTTTGAATCTATTTAATTTTTTAATGCAGAATTTGGCACTATGAAACAACACGCTAAGAAGAAAAAAATTGAGCCATCTCACTCAAAAACTAAGGTTTAAAACTGCAGCTCACATCTACAGGGAAGAAGGGAAGAAATAGATCTGGTTTCTATAACTCGCACCAAAGGTGACAAATGTCGGTTCCATGTGAATTGAACATTGGCTAATGACTAAAGGATAACCTATGTTAGATAATGAGTTTGTATTAGACCAACCATTAGTATTTCATTATAATACACATATTGAGATATTTTCCTTAAAATTTATACTAAGTATCTTGATGTGAGTCTGCCTACTTCTTTTCCTTAGTTGTGTTTCATCACTTTACTTCCTAGTCCATAACTGGAGCAGTCCTTACATCCTTCTAATCTGATCTTCTTTTTGGGTCTGTCTTGCCTTGGGGACAATACTTTTCTACCAAAAGCCAGCATCCTACTTTCAAATTGAAGTCTTTTTTTTAACCTCTACCTTCAGTTATTTAAAAATATATTTAGTAATTTTAGATACACAGAAAATTTGTGAAGATAGTACAGAGTTTCCATATACCTCCAACCAGTTTCCCCTATGGTTAACACCTTTTATGACCATGGAACATTTGTCAAAACCAAGAAACCAACATTGGTATATTACTATTAACTAAACTCCAGACTTAGATTTCAACAATTTTTTCCACTAATGTCCTTTTTCTGTTCTAGGATCCAATCCAGGATACTGCTTGCATTTAGGGGGCCTTCCTTTTAATCTGCAATAGACAACTAGGAGCTTGACGGAAACCCATTTCTTGTTCAGGGCACACTTTGTTATAGAAAAGTGATTCACTTCTTGCCAAACCATAAAGACAGCAAATTGGAAAGTCTGCCTACTAAGAGGGTTTTCTGCTTTCAGAGACTATCATCGTTACATTGGTTTTTTTTCCTCCCTACTCCTAAGATCCTGCCTCAGCAACTTTCTCCAACATTTAACGTGGCTTCTTCCATGAGAGTGTTTTCCTTAAAACCTGCAATTTTCACACCCATACCTAGGGGAAATTAAAACCAATGAGTAGCCTCCAACTATCATTCAAATATTCTCTGCAGCCTTCTCTTCTCTAAAGAAAACCACAGTCCTCTCTGGTTCTTCTCATATCCATCTCCTAGTCATCTCTCTTTTTCTGGTATCTCTCTTTCCCCACTACAGGTGTACTTTCTACTTATCGTCCCTCCATTAATCTTAAAAGGACCCAGCTCACAAATGGAAGAGATTTATGTCTCTTGGGGTAGGTATGGGATATTAGTGAAAACACATGATGCTATGTGGAAGTGGAGCTTAATGAAGCAGGGTTTATTATCCTCTGTGTGCTGCTGTGGATAAAATCATCTCAGGATTTTTCCAAGTCACATATTCCAGGAAAGTTCTGGAG